TGTGTGTGCGTGAGTGTGTGCGTGCGTGCGTGCGTGTGTGTGTGTGTGTGTGTGTGTGTGTGTGTTGTGTGTGTGTGTGTGTGTGGTGTGTGTGTGTGTGCGTGCGTGCGTGCGTGTGTGTGTGTGTGTGTGTGTGTGTGTGTGTGTGTGTGTGTGTGTGTGTGTGTGTGTCTGATTTAACACATCTGTGAAGTAACTAAAGGTATTTAATACATGTAGTGGAGTAGAAGTACACAGTATAGCATAAGATTGAAATACTAAAGTAATGTTCAAGTACCTGAGAATTGTACTTAAGTACTTGAGTAAATGTACTTAGTTACTTCCCACCTCTTATTACTTGTTGGAGTACTTTAACTTAAGTAAAGTATCTGAGTTCTTCCTACGAATGTCTCAGAGATGACAGTTTGAATATTACAACCCTTTGTGCATTAGATCCAGATGCTCAGAGGATGATGCAACACAGGGACCTGGAGAGGGGAACAGGAAGTGACTCATGTTGCTCTCAATGTGTGGAGAGTGAAAGCAAATGGAAACGGGAACCTGGTAAACACAACAGAGTGAAAAGAGGGGAAGGACCAGAGAGAGAGGAACGTTTTACCGGAAGATGACGTCAAGAAGAAGAAAACCCCGCCGGCATGCAGCTTCACTTCTACAGCTGAAAATCAGAGGAGGGAAGTAACTAAGTACTTCTACTTTTACTCAAGAACAAGACCTGAGTACTTCTACTTTTACTCAAGTACAAGATCTGAGTACTTCTACTTTTACTCAAGAACAAGATCTGAGCACTTCTACTTTTACTCAAGAACAAGATCTGAGTACTTCTACTTTTACTCAAGTACAAGATCTGAGTACTTCTACTTTTACTCAAGAACAAGATCTGAGTACTTCTACTTTTACTCAAGAACAAGATCTGAGTACTTCTACTTTTACTCAAGAACAAGATCTGAGTACTTCTACTTTTACTCAAGAACAAGACCTGAGTACTTCTACTTTTACTCAAGTACAAGATCTGAGTACTTCTACTTTTACTCAAGAACAAGATCTGAGCACTTCTACTTTTACTCAAGAACAAGATCTGAGTACTTCTACTTTTACTCAAGTACAAGATCTGAGTACTTCTACTTTTACTCAAGAACAAGATCTGAGTACTTCTACTTTTACTCAAGAACAAGATCTGAGTACTTCTACTTTTACTCAAGAACAAGATCTGAGTACTTCTACTTTTACTCAAGTACAAGATCTGTGTACTTCTACTCTTACTCAAGTACAAGATCTGAGTACTTCTACTTTTACTACAAGATCTGAGTACTTCTACTTTTACTCAAGTACAAGATCTGAGTACTTCTACTTTTACTCAAGAACAAGATCTGAGTACTTCTACTTTTACTCAAGAACAAGATCTGAGTACTTCTACTTTTACTCAAGAACAAGATCTGAGTACTTCTACTTTTACTTAGTACAAGATCTGTGTACTTCTACTTTTACTAAGTACAAGATCTGTGTACTTCTACTTTTACTAAGTACAAGATCTGTGTACTTCTACTTTTACTCAAGAACAAGATCTGTGTACTTCTACTTTTACTAAGTACAATATCTGTGTACTTCTACTTTTACTAAGTACAAGATCTGTGTACTTCTACTTTTACTCAAGAACAAGATCTGAGTACTTCTACTTTTACTCAAGAACAAGATCTGTGTACTTCTACTTTTACTCAAGAACAAGATCTGAGTACTTCTACTTTTACTCAAGTACAAGATCTGAGTACTTCTACTTTTACTCAAGAACAAGATCTGAGTACTTCTGCTTTTACTCAAGAACAAGATCTGAGTACTTCTACTTTTACTCAAGAACAAGATCTGAGTACTTCTACTTTTACTTAGTACAAGATCTGTGTACTTCTACTTTTACTAAGTACAAGATCTGTGTACTTCTACTTTTACTAAGTACAAGATCTGTGTACTTCTACTTTTACTCAAGAACAAGATCTGTGTACTTCTACTTTTACTAAGTACAATATCTGTGTACTTCTACTTTTACTAAGTACAAGATCTGTGTACTTCTACTTTTACTCAAGAACAAGATCTGAGTACTTCTACTTTTACTCAAGAACAAGATCTGTGTACTTCTACTTTTACTCAAGAACAAGATCTGAGTACTTCTACTTTTACTTAGTACAAGATCTGTGTACTTCTACTTTTACTAAGTACAAGATCTGTGTACTTCTACTTTTACTCAAGTACAAGATCTGAGTACTTCTACTTTTACTCAAGAACAAGATCTGTGTACTTCTACTTTTACTCAAGAACAAGATCTGAGTACTTCTACTTTTACTTAGTACAAGATCTGTGTACTTCTACTTTTACTAAGTACAAGATCTGTGTACTTCTACTTTTACTCAAGTACAATATCTGAGTACTTCTACTTTTACTCAAGTACAAGATCTGAGTACTTCTACTTTTACTTAGTACAAGATCTGTATACTTCTACTTTTACTAAGTACAAGATCTGAGTACTTCTACTTTTACTTAGTACAAGATCTGTGTACTTCTACTTTTACTTAGTACAAGATCTGTATACTTCTACTTTTACTAAGTACAAGATCTGAGTACTTCTACTTTTACTTAGTACAAGATCTGTGTACTTCTACTTTTACTTAGTACAAGATCTGTATACTTCTACTTTTACTAAGTACAATATCTGAGTACTTCTACTTTTACTTAGTACAAGATCTGTGTACTTCTACTTTTACTCAAGTACAAGATCTGAGTACTTCTACTTTTACTCAAGTACAAGATCTGAGTACTTCTACTTTTACTCAAGTACAAGATCTGAGTACTTCTACCTTAACTTAAATATAAGATCTGAGTATTTCTCCCAGCTCTGCTGGAAATGCACATATGTTAATATTCCTGAAGGTTTAAACACTGCTTTATAACATCTGTGGATGTTTTATTAAATGATATGAGATGGAAAACAGTGTGTGGATGCTTTAAAAAAACCGTTGACTGCATGAAGCTGATCCTCTGGTGTGAAAACAACCCTCTCTCATCACAGAGATGAGAGAACACCCTGTGGCCGGCGGCAGGTTGAAACCACCCGTTATTAGCTTCAAGTGATTCATGAAGATAGCAGGCGTTACAGATTCACATACATATTTACAAGTACATTAAACTACAGGATTATATAATACAGTTTAAAATAAATAAAGTGCATTACATTTATATCCAAAATACTATACTTTTATCTTTACTTTATCCGCACCAGAGGTGGGAAGAAGTGGAGTACAAATACTTTGTTACTGTACTTAAGTACATGTTTCTGGTATCAGTACTTTACTCCACTACTTATTTTTCTGATTACTTTTTACTTTGACTTCTTACATTTTGAACACAAATACCTGTACTTTCTACTTCTTACATGTTGAACCCAAATACCTGTACTTTCTACTTCTTACATGTTGAACACAAATACCTGTACTTTCTACTTCTTACATGTTGAACACAAATACCTGTACTTTCTACTTCTTACATGTTGAACACAAATACCTGTACTTTCTACTTCTTACATGTTGAACCCAAATACCTGTACTTTCTACTTCTTACATGTTGAACACAAATACCTGTACTTTCTACTTCTTACATGTTGAACCCAAATACCTGTACTTTCTACTTCTTACATGTTGAACTCAAATACCTGTACTTTCTACTTCTTACATGTTGAACCCAAATACCTGTACTTTCTACTTCTTACATGTTGAACACAAATACCTGTACTTTCTACTTCTTACATGTTGAACCCAAATACCTGTACTTTCTACTTCTTACATGTTGAACCCAAATACCTGTACTTTCTACTTCTTACATGTTGAACACAAATACCTGTACTTTCTACTTCTTACATGTTGAACCCAAATACCTGTACTTTCTACTTCTTACATGTTGAACACAAATACCTGTACTTTCTACTTCTCACATTTTGAACCCAAATACCTGTACTTTCTACTTCTTACATGTTGAACCCAAATACCTGTACTTTCTACTTCTCACATGTTGAACTCAAATACCTGTACTTTCTACTTCTTACATGTTGAACCCAAATACCTGTACTTTCTACTTCTCACATGTTGAACACAAATACCTGTACTTTCTACTTCTCACATGTTGAACTCAAATACCTGTACTTTCTACTTCTTACATGTTGAACCCAAATACCTGTACTTTCTACTTCTCACATGTTGAACACAAATACCTGTACTTTCTACTTCTCACATTTCCCAAACAGGCTGGTTCCTTTAGTTTGAATGTGTGTTTGGTGGCGTGATCATTATTATTTAGAGTCATTGCGTGCCTATTGATTTGAACACGATCCGTGTATCCATCATTTCCTGGTCTTCTCTAAAGAAGAGGGACCAATGAAAACGTTGTCATGTTGCCGTTGTTCAGCATGGAAACATTCATTAGCTAACAATGACATTATTGTTCTATTAATATAAAGGGAGGTCAGGTACTCTTTAAAACAGCTGCTAGCTATGGGTACTTTTTACTGAAGTACATTTCAAAGCCTCTTTACTTTGACTTGAGTAAAGAAGTTTAGTCAGTACTTCTACTTTCACCAGAGTATTTTAAACACTAGTATCTGTACTTCTACTTGAGTAAAGGATGTGTGTACTTCTCCATCTCTGATCTGCACTAAACTGCTGCTGTTGTAATTATGTGGGACAGGTAAAGGTACTCTGAGTCTGACTGACTCTACCATCAAACTTCATGATTAAGAGCTCCAAAGGGAAGATAGGAGCTGAACCAACAACAAAGAAACAAAAGAAATAAGAAATATCTGTGCTTTTTCTCTTTTGTTGCCCTCCTCCGGGCATCATCCGAGCGTCAGAGAGGGGCGGGGCCTGTTTACCGTAAATTATCTCGAGAAGGTAGCGAAAGCGTGACGTCACAGCGCGTCTCTGATTGGCGGAGAGTCGGGGGGTAGAGTTCGCTTCTCCCAAATATATAAGCGCGAGCACACCGTGGAGGCTCAGAGAGAAACACCGCGTGAAGAAGGAGATAAAAGAGCTTCCGTTGGACTATACTGAGAAACCCGAGGAAACACCGCTGCTTTTTAATATCACTTTTACAACGTTAAAGCTACCTAAACTCACGAGAGCCATGCTGACCCTCGGCCTCGTGCTGCTTTTATCCGCATCCGTCTTCTCAGAGTCGGTAAGTTGTTTTACTGAAAACATTTCTGACAAAGTTTGAAAAAGTTCCAACGGTTACCAAAGACGTTACTACCGTGTTGAGGATTAACGTGCAGGGTGTGAAGTACTTTTACTCAAGTACTGTACTAGTACACGTCTGATGTACTTGAGTATTTCAATGTTTTGCTACTGTGTACTTCTCCTCCTCTACAGTTCAGAGGTAAATGGTGTACTTTTCCTCCACTACCTGTATTTAATACCTTTAGTTACTTCACAGATGTGGATGAATGATGTGAAATATAACCAAGTGTTAAATCAGACTTTAGTTCCACCTGGAGTAAATCCACAAGCTACCCTGCAGTATACAAAGTCATTCAAACTAGCTGCTCCTTTACCAGCTTTGAGAACACTTTACTCAAGTACAAGATCTGAGTACTTCTACTCTTACTCAAGTACAAGATCTGTGTACTGTAGTAAGTATTGTGTGTCAACATCTGAATTTATAAAGTAAATAAGACTGCAAAAATAAATGCAGTGGAGTAAAAAATACTAAATTGGCTTTCAAAATGTAGGAGAGTAGAAGTATAAGGTAGTATGATTGATATACTGAAGAAAAGTAGGCCTACAAGTACCTCAGATGTGTACTTAACTAGAGTACTTGAGTTAATGTACTTGGTTTCTTTCCATCACTGTATATTTGGTTTTTATATTTTTGAACGTTTAAACTTGTTTTCAGAGTGAGATGGTTTGTTGGATTATCTTCAATGTTGTTAGCCAGTTAGCTTCACTGCCTGAGTGAGGTTAGAGTCCAGTGTGTTGGTTGGGACACACACGCACACGCACACGCACACGCACGCACACACACACACACACACACACACAGCTATTATCCAGCATGGGGCCCAGGTGGGGGGTAGCTGGAGTCACTTTTCCTGCCTCTGATGGCCAATCACTGCGACGTTATCTTAACATGAATGACTCTTTGATTAATTAGTAAAAGAAAGATTGCCCACCTCTGATTTAAATCCTCTTATTATTTACAACGGAGGTGCAAACTAGACTGTCGAGCTCAGTTTGTTGTGTGTGTCTGTGTGTGTGTGTGTGTGTTTGTCATGGCGTTGTTGTGGCTGGATAAGAAGGAAAGATGTTTCCTTCTTATCATGTTTTTCTTATTTCAGATATTTTCTCAGCAAAAAAGTAATGAGTAAAGAACAGAAAAAATGACATTTAAAAGTATAACAAACTATAAAATATATATGTAAGCAATGTCCAAAAAATACTACAAGAAGTTGGGAAAATACTTGAATGTGTAGGATTAAAAAAAATTCAAGAATATTTAAAAATACTATAACATTTGTGCAAAAGAACTGTGAAAGAAACACTTATACAAAACATGGGAAAATTCTTAAAAATTGTAAAACTGACGGACGTAAATATAAAATACTATGAAACTATGTAAGACACAATACTGAGCATGTACACAAAATACTGTAAATAGATCAGCTTTTCATTGGATATTTCATATGAAATGTGACACATTTTCCAATATGAAGCCTAAAGAATGTGTGAAAACTCATACACCAACATGTTTTTTAACATGATGTCGCTATGACGTGTTTTCTGTGGAGGTCCCAGTCGAAATGACCCCTCCTCAGATTCAGCAGATAAGGTAAACAGTGTCTTGCTGTGTTGTGGAAAGCTAAAGGCTGACTTAATCCTGGAGGAATGCGAGTGGAGGAGCGTCACTGAGCTGGAGGTGGCTAACTTTACACACATGTTATTTCCCAGGGACGTATTTTAAAGAGTCCCGTCCTGTAATTACTGCTCGGTAATTCCCCTTTTTCTGATTTGTTTGCATGGGCTGTTTAATACAACGTCACGTCTGTTTTCCCTTTGTTGTCCTGTATATTCTTGACACGTTTACTTTACCGTCACCCAGTTTGATCATAATATGCGGTGATGGTGGTGTGTTTAGAGTAACGTGTGGAGGATGGGATGAGATGGTTATTAAATGGATTAGTCGGATGTATCTGGCCTAATGCATGCAATCACGTGACAGTGTTTGGATGATGGTTGTATTCGGTTAGCTTTCATGCAGTGTAGATGGAAACAGGAAGTGGTCATATAGGGCTGTGCAATTAAATCGTATTTTAATCTCGATTACGATTTTGTCTTGCAACGATTACGAAAACAATGTAATCGAAATAAAACGATTATTATTTTAATTTAAAAAAAAAAAGAAAATGTTTTTTTTTTTTTTTTTTTTTTTTTCTGTTGAATTATACTTAAAGTTCAGGGTAATCAACTGTTAAAAACATACTGTTTAAATTTATTTTTTCAATATATGGATGTTTTCAAAGTAAATGGATAATCGTTTTTAATAATCGTGATATCAATTATTGACCAAAATAATCGTGATTATGATTTTTGCCATAATCGCACAGCCCTATATATTAAGCAGAAACCTGGGATCATGTCATATTTAGGCCTGAATTAAAGTCGATTAATTCAGTGATTTGTTATGAATTAAAATAATTGTCCCTTGGAGATTATTTAGCTTTTCTTGATTTGTTTTGAGCATAGTTGGAAAACGTGAGAATATATCTGATAATGGTGTTTGCAGAAAAGTAAAGAACACAGTATGACTTTGGTCTTATTTTGGGAATTTAGCATCTCTTTCTGTATTTACTCTAAAACAGTAGATTCTTGGACGTTTGGATACTTGTGATTTAGTTTGTGTGTACTGGAGTGCTAACTGATGCAGGCTCTCTGGATGCCACCCACCCACCCACACAGACCCACCCTGCCCCCCCTATGTCGGCCCAGTTGGTCAGTACAAATGGTGTTAAAGGGCAACAAAACACTGGCTTTACCAGACCTTCCCGACTGGAGTGCATGCCTGAAATAGAGGGCTGCAGGAATGTGTCATAAAGCCTGGAAATGTATTATCATTTAGCCCTTCCAGTTTTCAGAAACAACATGTTTTTGGTTGTTATCCTGAAATGAAGTCTGTGGTTAACACAAGCTGAATAGATTTTTATTCTACGACATAAAATACGTCAGTAAATGCCCCACTGGTGGATTTAAAAACAGTTAAATTGCTAACAAGTGTCTAAATGAGACGACTAAACGTCATCAGGCTCAACATCAGCCGCCTTTAGCTTAGCGGTGGTGACGTGAAGTCATGTGACCGTGCTGTAGTTCCTTTATAGTCGTAATCAGCAGCGAACCGCTTCAACACGTGTATTTCGGTGTATTCACGGCATTCATTTTGTTATTCTACAGTATTGTTGTTTTATAGTTATTTGTTAATGTAACCCAATTTGTGTTTGGAATTGAAAAGGATATCTCATTGTGTTTGTTACTTTCGTTGCAGTTGTATATGTCTTAAGTGTAATTTGGCTTGGCTTCCTATTTATGGACATGCTTTTATTTTGAAGGAGAGTTAGCGCTGTTGACAGGAAGTTGTTGTTGCTATGGAAACAACGTGACGGAGATTAACGGAGAAAAGTAATATCTACATATAAAGACGGAGAAAGTAAACAATAACGTTTATGGTTAAGTGTTAGCACCCCCCGAAGAGGCACAAGCTCTTACGTTGATATTGGAGATTTCAATAAATTCAATTTGAGAAAAAAAAAAATGAAAATCCAAATGACGAAATTGAAAACCCGAATAGTACTCCAACGAACGGATATTCGGGTACAGCCCTAGAAACGTCCAACATGTTAAACCACTAACTCTTGGGACAATAATCCCGGATTGAGGAGCGTCAGGCACTTCCCAACGAATCGCTCACAGTTGGTCGGATCCTCCTCGGCTTTAACAAGCTGCCACATTCCTCAGAGCCTTGTAGCTTCTGCTGCCTCATCTCGTCCCCCCCACTTCTTCTTCTTCTTCTTTTTTGATTTCCTCTCTGGAATGTGACCTTTGGTGACCTTGACCGGCCCTCTTGGGGATTTTGCACACTTGGAGGGTTCTCAATAGGGCCCTGGGGCCTTTTCATCAGGGACACTCTAGTGCGGAGACACCTACAGCTTTCCCACCAAGATGTGTTTCTATTACGGCTTTTTTTACTTTCTAGATTTCGCCTTTTTTTTAGTCTTCCCGTCTGTTCCCAGTTTCTGCTTCTCTGATCTATTGTCATTCCTGCTTCGGCAGCTTTCCTTTGATGGATACTTAGCCTCTGAGCTATGACAATCCTTCCCTCCCTCCTCCCAGCCCTTTCTTCTTCTCTTCCCACTGAGGTCATTATTGGTATGTGGGCTTGGCGTTCCCAGCTAATCGATAACAATGTTCTGCTACCTGACAAAAGAACATGCTCTGAATGCAAGTTTGTCTAAGAGCCACAGGCATGATTGGAATTTTTCATACCAATGGAGTTAGATCAAGTGGATGCCAAGAGGAGACTTGTCTAATCCTGGGAAGTTATTGCTTCATTTAGCAAAGCCTTGTGCAGCCCGAGGTAGAACAAATCTTTGAGGTCCACCATTCTGATTTCTGTTAGTTCTGTGTAGCTGTGGTCGTGCTGAGGCCTTATCAGTTTGTCCGAGATGACACACGAATCCTGTTCTTCTTGCTTTTCTTTTTTTCCAATAGCCTCAGCATTTTCTGCCCATGTACGGGAGCACATAACTCCTTCATAAGCAAGTTTTAGGTGAAGGTTAAAGATAAGAAGGTACAGTAACTGTTTTTGTCTCAAATAAAGGAGGCAGTTTGTCAAGATTACTCTCATACTTTGACTCACATTTCCAGGGTCAAATTCCCTTTTTAAAAGTGGACCTATCATGCTATATAATAATAATATAGTGTAGGTCCATACCTATATAAGGCATATTTATACTTTTTTCTTTTTCAAAATACCAAACAGATCATGCATTTTAGCCATGCCTCATTTTGCTCAATTTGACATTTTCTAGCTCTGTTTTAGCAAGGGCTGATTCAGTGAGAACAGCACCACCTACAGGCCTGGCATATGTACTACAGCGTCTCCAGCGCTTTCGAACAGCAATGGCCGTGGCT